GGGGGACGTGATTATCACTGCAACTGATGGACTTTTTGACAATTTGTACGACCAAGAAATTTCATCAAGAGTCCTGGCATCATTAAACAGTGATAAACAGCTGGAGGTGCTAAAACATCTTCTTTAAAGACTTTCTGATAAACAATGTTGTTACATGTGTGTTGTGGATTGCCTCTCTATTCTTGATTGGGCCGAATCCACCTGAACATTGGACCATCTGTTGGGGCCACCGGGTCTTGGACTTAAGTAAAGCGTGTTTATAAACACGCCTATTCTCTAAAATGTGAGATTAATTGTTGGCCTTTCATCTAGCTTAATATGGACTGTTGGATTTGGACGTTTTATCTGGACTATAAAGTCCTCCCTTTGCCTTTCGATGTGAAGTGGTTCGATTATCTTCTAGGGTTTTCGCTTCGTCTCCTTCCTTCTTGAGAGTTCTTACTGCTTCGTGATTTTTGAATCTAATCTCTATAAATTTCTTAGTGATGTTTGAGTTGTATTTTGTATACAGTGTGAGAGATTGTGAGGAGAGCAATTTCCTCTAAAAGGGAGGCCAGAGAAAACATAATTCCGTTTCTTCAAACATTTGTATTGATTCTTTGTGATTCTTAGTGGATTTAAGCCAAATCTACTTTGTAGATGCTCAACCGGCGAGTAGGCTTCGACTGAACATCCGAGCCCTTCGGGGCGAAAATTCCTTAGTGTTATTACTTTCTGAGATTTTAATTTTTCTGAACAAATTCATTTTGAATGCTATCGATCTTGAGACCAACATGTGGTATCAGCGCAGTTTTACGAAGGGTTAGGGTTTTTTGAATTTTTCTTTGAATTTTTTTTCTGAAAACCCTAGATCGTAGATTTTTTTGGTTAAATCTTAAAATCGAGTATTCTTCGTGAAAATTTCTTACAAGATCTATCTTCGGTTCAATTTTTTGTTGGATCTTTCAACTGCGTACTTTGTGATATTATTTCTGATGATTACTGTATTTTTCTTGGGTTTCTGAGGCTTCTGAATTTTCTGAGTAATATTTCATAAAGACTCGTACTGAGTAGCAGTAAGTCAACTCGACTCATTTCGATTCCTGCTGATTTCTTGTGACTCACTGTTGAGTCACACTGAGTTGCTGTGACTCGTTGTCTTCTTGTGTGATACCTTGGATTGTGCAACCGGTTCTGGTATTCCCTTAATTACCTTCTTCATTCTGTAATATTGTGTTTCAATTTTTGGTATAAGTTCCTTACTTTCTTAGTTCCTCAGTTAATTGTTTAGATAATATACTACTCATAGAGTTGGTCATTAAGGTAAGTGATCTTCTGCTACCTTCCTTTGTCCAAGATCTCCTGCGAGGACCTGGGAATCTGAGGGGGTAGTGGGTTAAATAGGTCACCACCCCTTAGATCCGCTTTCAAGTTGGTAGCTATATCTTTACATTACTCTTGTTAAATATCTGCACATGTTTAATATAAGATTGCTATATTGAAATCTTTATTGTTTACGCTCAAGGTCTGTACTTACTATATCTTGTGTGGCATATAAACTTGAATTTGTGGATTTATTTGTGATCATGACTACTGCACAAAAACTTGAGGTAGAAATTTGGAGAGGGACTAGAGATTTTAGTTTGTGGAGACAGAAAATGAGAGCTCTGTTAATGCAACAGATATGTGTTGGGGTAATTGATAGGACTTGGGGTACTGAAATTAGTGCCTATAGAAGACAGGAATTAGATGAGAATGCTTGGAGTTTTATATTTTTGTATCTGTCAGACGGTGTTATTAGAAAGGTTGGAGAAACCACTAATACACAAGGTCTTTGGACCAAACTTGAGCCCCTATACCTGACTAAATCAATGCCAAATAAATGTTATCTTCTGAGACAATTCTATAACTTTAGATTTGATCCCTCTTTAATCCTAGAAGAAAATATAGATAAATTCACAAGATTGGTTCAAGAATTATCTGACTGTGAAGAGGAACTGTCTGAAGATCAACAAGTCGTTGCTCTGTTAAATGCACTAGGTGATAAATACAGAGATCTAAGAAATGCTTTAGAGTATGGTAGAATTGATTTTACAGTTGATATTGTTATATCATCTTTAAGAAACAGAGAACTTGAATTGAAATTTGAAACTAAAGATTCTAAGTTTGGGGAAGGTCTAAATGTTAAGGAAAAGGTAAATCAAAATAAAAAGACCAATCAGAACAATCTGTGCAATTTCAGTTCCCACAAGAAAGGAGAGCCTCAATTTAAAAAATTCAGAAATCAAAATAAATCTCAAATAAAACCTAAACTACCACCCAGAAAGTGTTATTATTGTGGTAAAACTGGTCATCTCATAAAAGACTATTTAAAGAAAATGTCTGACATGAAAGGAAGAACAAATGCAGATGGGGCTACAGCTATTGCCTGTAATAATGAATCTGATATACAAGGAGTTGTCCTTGTAACCACATCAAAGAGGAACCTAAATGAATGAGTTTTAGACTTTGGATGTTCCTTTCATATGTGTCCCATAAAGAATGGTTCACTAACCTTACTGAACTTAGTGGTGGTCAAGTTCAAATGGGAAATAACATGACCTGTCCAATAAAAGGTATTGAAAACCTTAAGCTTCTGTTAGAAAACAATAATATCGTTGAACTGTCCCAAACAAGATATGTGCCTGACCTTTAAAGAAATTTGATTTCTCTTGAGCAGTTAAATGATGAATATGAAATTATAATCCACAAAGGATTACTTAAAATAAGTCTAAACTCCAAAGAAATCATTTCTTCTCCTAAATCTAATGGGATCTTCACACTGTAGGCTGAACCTTTGGTTGGAAATAACTCTGCAGTTGTAAAGACAAATGATAATAAAACCCTAATTTGGCATAGGAGAGTAGGGCACATTAGTTAAAAGGGATTGACTGTTTTGAACAGATTAAAATGTTTTGGAAAGGATAACATTGAAAAACTTGAGTTTTATGAAGATTGTGTAATTGGTAAACAAAATAAAATGCCTTTTAAAACTGGGATTCATAAATCCACCTCTATACTTGAGTATCTACATGCTGACATGTGGGGTCCAGTATCAGTAAATACTCTAAGTGGTTTTAGATACTATCTTTTAATTGTGGATGATTTCTCAAGAAAAATTTGGACCTTTCTTTTAAAACAAAAATCTGATACTTTCCAAACTTTTAAACTGTGGAAACTTATGATAGAAAATCAGACAAGTAAGAAAATAAAAGCACTTAGAACAGATAATGAGCTTGAATTTTGTAACTTTGAATTTGAATCCTTTTGTAAAGAATCTGGAATTTTAAGACACATAACTGTAACATACACTCCTCAGCAAAATGGTATTGCTGAGAGAATGAATAGAACTTTATTGGAAAAGGTCAGATGTATGCTACTTAGTTCTGGTCTTCAAAAATTATATTGGGAGGAAGCTTTAAAAACTGCCACTTATTTGATAAATAGAATTCCCTCAAGTGCTATTGATTTTCAAATCCCTGGAGATCTGTGGTCTAGAAAGTCTCCAAATTATTTTAAACTAAGGGTTTTTGGATGTGCTGCTTACTCCCATCAAGTTATAGGCAAACTTGAACCCAGATCTCAAAAATGTGTTTTTCTGGGTTATGAAGAAAAAACAAAGGGTTATAGGCTGTGGGTAAAAGGTAAAGATGGGTTCAGAGTTATTATTAGTAGAAATGTAATCTTTGATGAAAGTTAGTTTCCTTGCAAAAATTAATCAGATCATAACACAACTGGAATAAATCCTGTTAAAGAAACAGTCCTTGAGAATCTAGAAAGTGATCCTAATGAACCAGATAATTTGATTGAGGTGGAGTCCACTCAATCTGATATAACTCAGCCTCAAAATGAATTTGATATTGAAAATCAATCTCAAGAAATTGTTCTTGACAATTATCAGTTGATTAGGGACAAAGGTAGAAGAAATAGATTCCCTTCCACTAGAATTAACCCAGATGAATTTGTGACTTTTTATACTGAACTCGAATCTGTTAATTCTGAACCTACAACCTTTGAAGATACAGTAAATTGTAAAGAATCAAAATTTTGAATAGATGCCATGCAAGAGGAGATGGATTCCCTAATAAAGAATAAAACTTGGACCCTTGTCAATAGACCTAAACATCAAAAGGTTGTTGACTGTAAATGGATTTACAAAGTTAAAGAGAGTGAACCTGAATCTGGAGGTATAAGGTATAAGGCCAGACTTGTGGCAAAAAGGCTTTACACAAAGAGAGGGAATTGATTATAATGAAATATTTTCACCTGTTGCTAAATACACCTCTATCAGAATTTTGTTAGTCTTAACAGCACATTTCAACTGGGAATTGGACCAGCTTGATGTTAAAACAACCTTCTTAAATGGTGATCTAGAAGAAACCATTTATATGAATTAGCCAAAGGGTTTTGAAACGAATAAAAAATAGACCAGGTTTGCTTGTTAAAAAAGTCACACTATGGTTTGAAACAGGTACCCAGACAATGGTATAAGAAATTCTACTCTTATGTTCAAAATTTGGGATTTATTAAAAATAATTTTGACTCTTGTTTTTTCTTCAAAGGATCAGGAAGACCTGATTCTCTTTATCTTCTTTTATATGTTGATGATATGCTTGTAGCCTGCTATGATAGATCTGAAATTGATTCCGTTAAAGAAAAACTCAAAGTTGAATATATCACTACAACAAAAAGGACTTTTTACGGCGTGCAATAAAATCCCTTTATGGCGTACGGCCGCACGCCGTATAAAGCAATGCTATAATTGCGAAGATATTTTTACGACGTGCAATGCACGCCGTATAAGAACGCCTTAAATAAGTATTTCATTATTTACGACGTGTGCATGCACGCCGTAAAAAGTTCATTCACTTTTTCACGGTGTGCATGTGCACGTCGTAAATGTTAATTTTTTAAAAAAAAAATATTTGTTTATTTGGTTACCAACAAACCCATAATAATTACAAAACAAAAAAGACACATAAATTATATATAATTAGATTTTATATACGTCTGATAAACAAAAACAATAAATACGGTTCAATACAATATGCCAAAAATGTAGAGTTCGTCTAAATAATTCTATCATTAACCTACTCAAAAAGTTTTATCTACCTCTGAACTATGGAACATTTACATGGGAAAATTTAACGTAACTCCAAAGTCATTTGAGTATCCCAACTTGAAATTCCAGCACTGGTTTTTGCTTGCCAAGTCCTATGAGCCAGGTAATATTCTTATTGTCTTTCCCCCTTCTTATCTTCTGGTTCCTTTGGGGTTGAGAAGAATTCGGCTAAACATGAAGATAAGCTAACTTGAAATTGTAAGTTTGGTTCGGCTAAACATCAATTATCTAACTTGAAATTATAGACAACAATACAAGGCGAAGCGAAAACAATATCAATAAATTGCAAAATTGAAAGAAAGTCCAGAAGATAAAATGAGACTTACAACATCTCCATGAGAAATTCCGATGTGATTGAGAGCAGAAGTAGGTTTAACATACCTTTCTAAAGTCTCTGATCGTTGGCCTAGATCCTTGAATCTGGCATTTGACTCCCTTCCATATTTCTAGTTATTCAAAAAATAAAAACATATATTGGAATGATAATAAAGCAACAGTGTCTAGCAAAAAGGAGAAATATTATTCCTTTCTAAACCTTAATAATTTTCTTTTGCATGATTTTGAATCCGAGGTCATCTCTATTTAGATAAATGTCTTTTTTCATATAAGACACCAAAAATTAACAAATGATATATAAATTATATAAAACTTTTAAGGACTCAAGAAGAGTTTGTTACTGTCCACAGCATTAGCAGAACTCCCATCTCCCCGCATTCTGCGAAACATAGAACAGGCTCCATAAATATACAACTTCTAGAATATAATCTTACTATTTTAACTTTTTCTTCTATGCTATAAATTACTTAACCCCATCTTCAATATTAGAACAAATGAATAATGTCTAACATCATATGGAATCAGAATAACTTCAGTAGCAACTTATGTTTAGTACTTGTAGTTATACATATTTGGGCTAGAATATTTATAAGAAAAAGGGAAAAAAAGAAAAAGTTGAACCCCTAAAACTAAGACAAGTATTCAAACACAACACAGCTTCATACCAACAATAAGACGATAAAAGAAACCAAAAATATATACCGCTTGTTGACTTGAAGAGATAAATCCACATTACTTCCCAGCCTATCTCTAACGGACCGTTTGTTTCCAATAGTTGGCTGCGAATCAGGAAAAGAACTATCCACCGTAAGCCCTGACCGATTCACCATCTGTAGAAACCAAAATATCAATATATGCATAGAACTACTTATATGTGCAAAAACTTCGGTTACCCTTTTCCATACCATCCAAATAACTAATTTTAGTATATATGAAAACAGATCTAAATAAATCTTAGATTGCTTAATCAAGAAGCACCAGTTTTGTCATTTTCGCCACATTATTTGATCTTCAATCACCATATAAATACACATATATAAACACTATAATAGCACATAATAGTCCATTCCAATTGAAAACAAATAAATTAAAAAAAAAAAAAAAAACCTTCGAAACCCTATTCAATCGATCAATTGATCAAACAATCAAACAGAGAATCAAAAATTAATGAACAAGTAGTAAATAATGAAAGGGTTTTGGTGAAATGGGGAAAATTGTTCGGACTACAACGGCTGATTGATTAGGCTGCCACCGACTGAAATCTGTAAAGGAGATCGATAAGGTGGAGAAGAGGAAAAAAAGGAGAAGAAGAAAGTACGGGGTTCTAGGGAAAAAAGGAATGAAAAGAAAAGAGAGGAAGATAGAAAAAAATGTAGGAGGAAAAAAGGAATAAAATAAAGTGGAAAAGGAAAAGAGAAATTTAAACTTTTTAAGGCGTGCAAGATTCACGCCGTAATAGTAAATATTTACGGCGTGCAATTGTTGTGTGCCGTAAAATCTAACTCTTTATGGCGGGCCTTCAATGCATTCCGTAAATAGTTAAAGTGACAGATTTATTATGGCGTGCATTTAAGGCACGCCATAAATAGTATGTTTTTACGGCATGCCTTATATGCACGCCGTAAATGTATGCCGTAAAAAGTAACTTTTGTTGTAGTGTATAGCAGCTTGTGATGCTATTAAAGAATGATTGTGGTTAAGAGGCTTGTTGGGTGAAATTGGTTTTGCAAATGAGGTTGTTAGAATTTATATAGACAACCAAAGTGCAATTCATTTGAGCAGAAATCCTGTATACCATGATTGGACTAAGTATGTTGATATTAAATTTCATTTTGTTAGAAATATGGTTAAGAAGTGTCTTATTAATTTGGTTAAAATCCCAACTGAATTTAATCCTTCTGATATTAGTACTAAGGTATTACCCTTAAATAAGTTCAAGAACTGTTTAAAAATTCTGAACATCTATTGAAGGTAATGGATATAATTTCTAGTTTTTTCTTTGTGTAATGTTTTGAGTATAAACTAACAGTTTTTCTTTTTACAGGTTGTGTAGAGCAAATGAAAAAAGTGTTTTTGGTTTTTTAAATCCACAAAAGAATTCCAAGAATAGATCAGCAAGGTGGAGATTGTTGTGGATTGCCTCTCTATTCTTGATTGGGCTGAATCCACTTGAATATTGGACCATCTCTTGGGGCCATCAGGTCTTGGACTTAAATAAAGCGTGTTTATGATAAACACGCCTATCTCTAAAATGTGAGATTAATTGTTGGTCCTTCATCTAGCTCAATATGGACCGTTGGATTTGGACGTTTTATCTGGACTATAAAGTCCTCCCTTTGCCTTTCGATGTGAAGTGGTTCGATTATCTTCTAGGGGTTTTTCTTCGTCTCTTTCCTTCTTGAGAGTTCTTACTGTTTCGTGATTTTTGAGTCCAATCTTTGTAAATTTCTTAGTGATGTTTGAGTTGTATTTTGTATACAGTGTGAGAGATTGTGAGGAGAGCAATTTCTTCTAAAATGGAGGCGAGAGAAAACATAAGTGAAGAAACTCCGTTTCTTCATACATTTGTATCGATTCTTTGTGATTCTTAGTGGATTTGAACCAAATCTACTTTGTAGATGCTCAACGAGTGAGTAGGCTTCGACTGAACATCCGGGTGCTTTGGGGCGAAAATTCCTTGGTGTTATTACTTTCTGCGATTTTAATTTTTCTGAACAAATTCGTTTTGAATGCTATCGATCTTGTGACCAACACATGTGCATAAGTTCACACACATATGTATGCACTCGTAGATGCAAATATATAGGAAATCAAGTTTCTTTACACCATATCATTCATCAAAGATCAGTGGTGTTCGTTTCAACTCTTCTTTTTATTTATTTTTTTCCAGCTCTTTATTTAGGAAATTGCAGAGTTATTGGCAACACAGGCACAGGAAGTGGGTAGGTCCGCTTCTGCCAGATGTCCGTTTGCTGATGCTGCTCAAGCAGCTGGATATGTAGGTTATACTGGCGGCAAGCTTGATGATGTGGCTGTTATCGTATCAGTGGTTCGAAGACGATAGAATCTTGCATTCCACAAGGTTAGTGCATGTTTGGTTCAGTCCTTAATGCTATTTAATCCTACTTACGGAACATGCCATTAGTTTTGCACTTTTTCTGAGCATTCAGGAATATTGGTATGTTGGCGTATTTCTTCTACTTGTTCCAAATCTTTGTGTGTGAAATATAAGTTAGGCCTATATGGAATAATCCTGTCGTTTATATTGGTGCATCGGTTCTCAAGAACATCTACATTAGCCAGAATCTATGCTGTTTCTCAAATGTTTACTTGTACACCTACTGATGCCAATTGTTGAAGGTTTTCCAGTTGAGTGAAATAGTATGTGAAGTTAATGTTTTAATTATCATTCACATACAGGATAACATAAAAAAGGCCTTCAAATGTTGACACTTGCAAGTAAAGTTAGCGTCCTTTAGGAAGAACTTATCTAAACAAACTTTTAGGTTTTGACACGATAACTTTTTCAATTTAGTAACATAAGCTGAACGAGTAATACTATATGGGATCAAAGACAATAGCACTATTAATATTCTTATCTTTTGTCATTATTTTCATATTCATATGAAGATCTAAAGCAACTACTTCCCATGGTAATTAATAACTGATGTTGCTCGCCGTTTACAAATCTATTTGCGTGGAGTTGAATAAAGACATTTGTTTGAGCTCCCTTCTTTGAAAAAGGAAAAAAAAAAGTATTTTTAAACAATGTTTTGACATTATTTCAATCACATTCTTTAATAAAATAATAATATACGTAAATCCAAACTTTTTTTTCTTTTTAACCACGTGTTTTCCATCGATACATTATTTAAAAATATATTTTTTTTCTCTAAAATAGGGCTCAAACAAGGGCTTGGTAAAGTTTTTGAAAAGTCAAAACGTACTTTTGATACTAAAAAGTCATTTTTGAAGTTTTTTGAATAGTTTTTTGGAAGTGTTTTGGTTTACGACAAAAGCTTGTTTAAGGGTTGATTTTGCATGACTTTTGAAAGTCAAATAATATTTTGAAAGTAATTTGTTTCGGGTAGAGAAATTTTTGACCCTGTTTGGGAGTGATTTTGAAAATTGATTTTTTGACCTTTAGGAGAAAAGTGGGGTTCACATGTGAGAGAAAAAGTCAAATATGACGGTTGATATAGAGAAATAACGGTCAAAAAATTAATTTTTTGGGCAAAAAAATCACTCCCAAACAGGCTATTTATAGGAAATTCCAATTTCCTCGTAAGATTATTTTGCAAGGAGCATAATTTTTCTCAAACAAGCTTTGAGGTAGTTTTTTCATGAAGCTTTTGCAGTAAAAGTGAAACAAAAGCCTACCGAAAATGTTGAAAATAAGCAACACGTTGCAAGAAGTTTCTAGTGGGAATATAAAACGTGTAATTTTGTGGGCTATCCACCGAAAAGTGTGGCAAGCGTGTTCTTCATCAACCACGCTTTTAGAGCATCGTGTTTGATTGATTCTGAGTTATACCTACCCCACTTTCACAAATCGAAATAATGACACTAGAATCTAATACCCTTTTCATAGTGTAATCAAATCGAAATCCCCACTTAATTAAGCTAAAAAAGTAATTAATGATACCTTTTTCTATTGTAAAAATGCATTCAGCACTAGGAGTCTGTTTGAGAGTAATTCTCTGACCGTTAGGAGAAAAGTGGGGTTCACCTGTGAGAGAAGAAGTCAAATATAACGGCTGAAATAGTGAAATAACGATTAAAAAATCAATTTTTTGGATGAAAAAATCGGACCCAAACAGGCTCTAAATGAAAAGGTACAAGTGTGAAAGGGCACACTTGGAATGAATTGTAGAGGCTGGCAAAGGAATCAGTGACTTTTGACACTTGTTCGTTACGGAGGGAGACTACCATAAGTTTCCTCTTCTTAAAAATACATATATATATTCCTTGTCAATATATTGACAAAGTATCTCTTGAACATATGTTACGTTCGATTTTATTAGAAAAAGACAATGGACTGCCTTTCATGCTGGACTTATGTTTGAGGTCCATTTTTTTTTTTGTTGAAAATGAGAGTTGTAAAATAGAATTTTTAAAGAGGTCCATTTTTTTTTTTTTGTTGAAAATGAGAGTTGTAAAATAGTATTTTTAAAGAATATATAGGTAAAAAGCAGAAAATATTTTGAATTTACAGTAAAATATTTTATGGTGTTAATTTGGAGCTCCAATTGAAATGATAAATATATTATATATCCAAAAATATTCAACAAAACACTTCACCAGTCAAATGGACAACTGCAACGGCTGAGATGATTTTTCTGAAGATCAACCAGATTTCATTTTTGACTGATTTCAGAAATGTCTGGTACCTTTTGTCATTTGTTAGTAGATTAAAAAATTGAAATCCAAAAAGAACCTGTTAGACTTACCGAAAAATTTCATAGAATTTTTTCACGGATGGACACATAACAGAATTTCACTTGTTTCAATTAAATCAAACAAAAAAATGTATCATACAGACCTGTAAACAATTCCCTGTGTGCAGAGAAATTCAACAAAACACTTCATCAGTCAAATAGGAAAATGTTAGCTGAACATAATGGGCCACAAAAGGGGCGAGGCGCCTGTGGGCCCAAGGTGCGGCAGACGCCTCGGCCAATGTCGAGGTGCCGCGTGTCCATTATGTAACCTTCGATGTAGCCCATTATGTTCATGTAGCAAAGTCCAGTCAAATATTGATTTTATTTCAAACTATGATGTTCCCTCCATCAAAGTTCCCAACATAAGGACCCCTCTAATAAATTGGTTGGCCAATTTGAATACAAGTCGGAGAGGGTTGATGAAAACGTGCCAAGCTGCAAATTAACCTTTTAACAGCCGAATTTGGTTGACATTTCAAGGCCCTATTTGATCCATATTTAAAAAAAAAAAAAATACATTCGTAAACACGGATATGATATTATTTCAATCGCATATTTTTTAAAAAAAGAATATTTATGTAAATTTAAAATTTTTTCTTATTTTTTAATCACATATTTTTCATCAATACACTATTTGAAAATACATTTTTATGAAAATAATGTGACTCAAACAAGTGCTAAATTTGATTAATTGATGTTAATTTTGATCTAAATTGAATCGATCTTTAATTATGTACGAAAATTTTCACTTCAAGTACTTCTATAAGTTGCGTGGTCGACAATTGACCATATAGATGAATTATTATAACACCAAAGCAGCTTACAAACTAGGGATGACAAGGGAACCGTAATAGCCAATACTCTCAAATTTATTACTTGTGTCGGGTCTAGCTTTTGATTTTTGAAGTTCAAAATTCCCAAATTTCAAGAAAATAGTAACTCCATTCTTCAAAAAGGACTCCTTAATTCCAGCCTGACCTCCATGTGTCTCCATTGTACTCAAATAATTTCATTTGTACATAAAACTATTCTTCAGGATTCTGTCAGTAATTTCACACGGGTGAAAACCCAAATTATGATTAAAAAAAATAAAGCCCTCGAAATATAATTCAGTGGTGCAAAATAAAGCCCTCGAAATATAATTCAGTGGTGCAAAAGACAGGAGTGAAGTTATCTCACGCCCCGTTGACAGTCGCAGTATAGGAGTTCGATTTTTGACACATGAAAATTGGACTCCTTGTAAGCGCAGTGTATATGCAGCTCTTATTTTCTAATCTGTTGGGACACATCCCATAATTTACCTATCTCACAAAATTTTAAGCGCGGGGAACGTGTACCCACTCAATTTTTTTATAACCCATAAGCCTTTGCAATTCCCCTACCATTTTCATTTCAGTCTGCACTCTATTTCTTCTCTCTAAAATGGCACTTTTTGCGAGCACCACCGACCAACTTCCATTCTTCTTTGTGCTGTTTTTCTTTGCTCTTTTAACCACCGTCCAGTCCGCTTCGCACTCGGCGCCGGCCCCCGCTGTGGACTGCTCTAGTCTCGTATTAAACTTGGCGGACTGCCTTTCATTTGTGACCAGCGGAAGCACCACCAAGAAATCTGAAGGTTCTTGCTGTTCTGGGCTTAAGACAGTATTGAAAGCAGACGCTGAGTGCCTCTGCGAGGCTTTCAAGAATAGCGCACAGTTGGGTGTCACTCTTAATGTGACCAAGGCCTTGACTTTACCTGCTACCTGCCATGTCTCTGCCCCTTCTGTTAGCAACTGTGGCCGTAAGTTATATGATTTATTTTTCTTTACCCTTTTTGTGGTTTCTTCTGTCGAATGTAGATTTCATGTCTCCTCTGTATATTTTGGGGTAGAAATTATTATTTTGAGTTTTCTTCACTGTCATTGCCCTTTTCTTTTCTTTTCTTTTCTTTTTTTAATAGAAAAATACTTCTTTAAATTCTTTCTTCATTGATCTATTGTTTATTATAGATGTGAAATTATGCAATTGTTTTTATGAATTCAAAAACTAACTTCTTCTTCATCATTTTTTTTCTCTTTTTTCTTGCTGTTATTACTTAACACAGTGACTGCCGCCGGTGCTGCTCCAGGTATATACCGATCCAATTACCCTTGACTAGTCATATTCTTTATCGAATTCTTTATGTTATGAAACTCATCGAAGCGCCGCGTCCATAGATTGAGTTAGATAAATTTTCAAGTTAACTGAGAAGTGCATAATTGATTTCGCTGCAGCTATTTCTCCTTCGGCATTATCTCCTACTGCAATTCCAGGTGCTCCAACTACCAGTATAGTACCTAATGAACTTGCACCTGCACCGGCACCTGGTCCTGCTCTAGGAAGCTCTGGTTCCTCTGCCCTAGCCATCTCTGTTGGGTTTCTCGTTCTTTCCATGGTGACTGCTGTATCTTCAGCTTTATTCTGAGAGCTTATTGTACTCTCTTCTTTTCGAGACAGAATTGAGCTTCTTTTTAGTTATTTAACCTTTAGTAATAACAGGCTTTGTAGATGTGAGACGATTATTAGAAGGTTCCATTTTGAGTTTCTTCTTTTTCGTATCGTTGTGTTATTCAGTATTTAATGGACGTGGATTTTATCCTTAGTAGGCCTTTTTAAGATGAGTAATGCGATATAGTTCAATTGGAATTACATTTTCAATTTAGGTGTAACATTAAATAACTAAAATCAATCATTAAAATATAATCTATAGGTTATCGTGTGAGATTACACTTGCAGACTCGTCAACTATCTTCGATGGGACATTATCGTCACTGGTAAGATATATCGTGGACCGTGCTAACCATATGCAGCCAGTCAGGGTCATTTAAACCCCCAAGTTGAAGTTCGGAGCTAACAATTGAATATAATTCAATGGTCACAAGCATAAAAGACTTAACCACCATGCTAGATATCTGGGTTCAATGACAGATTTTCATTTTTAGAAAATATTTGGCACTTTATCATTGAAAGTTGGAAAAAAAGAGACAAATACACTCAATCACAATTTGCCAAATCATCATGTTTTCTACTATCTGTTTTCAATTCCTGTCCAACTAGCTTTATTCGAACTCTAAAAATTGATAGCTGTTACACACTTTGGAATTCAAAAAATAACGAGAAACTTGTTTCAAATCGTGTAACTTATTTTACCTGATCCATGTTGTGATAAATTTGTCCTTTTATGTCTTTTCTCTAAAAGAAGAAAGAAAACAAGAGAAGTAAATATTGACGAGACTTTTCAAGTAATGTTTCAAGCTTCTTACATGAAGAACGTACTGTCCTAATGCAACTTTCCGATTGCCTTGTACATCCACCACACTCAAATGCTTGCAAACGTCTACATTAAATTTAACAAGTCCTTCTGCCATTGGTGTCAATTGGACCTTCTCAAAACCCAACAAATGTTTTTGAGGTGCATTGTGCACTTGGGGAGGACTTGAAAACTGTTAAACAATCCAAAGAAAAATAAAGAAAAAGGAGGAGGCTAGAGTTTCATTAATTGAATGAATGCTACAAAAATAGTTTAACCTAAATGCAAAGAGAATATATATAGGCTAAATAAAGGAAACTAAAAAGGATTATTCTACCCTTAATAAATAATAAATAATTCTATATTTCGTAACAAAAACAAGAAAACAGTGTGACTTCCAGTCACTTTCCCCACATTTTTAACTGTCCAGTGAATATTAAAGTCTATATTCCAGCAGGCTTCTTCTACGGCATCGATGGACTTGCAGTTTGATGAGTGACAGACATGTCCCTCATCTAAGGGGATGGAGATGAGCTTTGGGGCTTGAACGAGTTGGTGATTGAATTGAGAGTATCTTAGTCCATCCCCAAATGAAAAAACAGTTGGGTCATTGTAAAAACGGTATGTTCGACCAAGGTAGCCTCTGACGGGGTCTGGTCTCATGTTCATGTTAGTCATAGGAACCTTGTCCACATATGACTGAAGATACCATTCATTGGTAGCCTTCCACCTGCACTAGATTGCACACGTTCAATACCAAAAATAATGTTGAGTACTTTCTAATCTACCTTAGTGAACTTGTTTCACCAAAATAATGGGAAAATATTAGGAAGGCTTACTTGGATTGTAATATCCAAAGATTATATCAGCAATTGCAGCTCTACCAGCTTCGCAAGGGAAATCGACCCGAGGATGCTAGTTATTTTGGGATCATCTTTCGCAAATTGTATGTCCATTCCACCTCCGGACATGGGCACATCTCCAAGTGGTAAAAGGGGAGGATGGAGAAATCCAGCTTTGCTTGAGGCTGTCGCGTCAATGGTTCGAATCCTGAAATATGGATTTGGCTCTTGGGTAAGTGCAAGTGTACAAGCAGCCTTCCACCCTATATCCTTGGAGGCATAACCTGCGATTTACCTCCCTCACGCTGCTCCAGGGTAGGGACGGTGGGGGACCCTTAAGTTGGAGTTCAATCTTTTAAGAATTACAGGCCCCTTGGATACACTTGCACTTGTTGTAATTAGAATTGATTGCAGTCTTAGAAGTGTAATATCGAGCATGTCCCTGTTTTCTGCCTCGATAGATTGGTCCGAACCCATTATTAAAACTACAACATTAGCTACTGCCGCTACTTTCCTAGCTTCATCTACTTGAGCAGTGGCGAATGATACATCAGCACAGCCTGGCTGATATACTGTAAGCAATCCTTGTCAAGCTATGCTCTGAATATGCTCAGCCTCATCTTGGCAAGTCCTTTCGACTAAATAAAAAATTAAAAAAAAAAAAAAAGAACAGAAAAAAGAAAAAATCATACATGATCACATTAGTCGCTATAAATTGTGCTACATTTTGAAAAATAAAATGATACCTTCGTAATTGCCAATCATGGTTTTGGTTACATTAGCATTAGGACCTATTACTGCCAAGGATTTGTTGGCAGTGGGAGATAGTGGCAGTGATCCTTCCGTATTTTTGAGCAAAACAACCCCTTGTCATGAAAGCTAACTCTTGATTTGCGGGGGTGCACACATCTTTCGGCCTTAGATCTCCATAAAGTTGCTTACTTGGGTCACCATCAAAGAATCTCAGTCTCGTCAGTGTGGCAAAATTGTTCGAAATTGCTTTGTTGATATTTGTTTCATTTATTAGTCCACGATCTCTTGTAGGTTACAAAAATCGATTTCCCCTATATATATATATATTTGGCCTCTCATTCCTCCACCAGCATCATCATTGTCCACGATGAGAGATTTTTCTAGTTGGTCTATCACTATTCATTTTCATGGAAAAATCTATATTGTCCTTAATAAATTGATTCTTTCTATATTGCAACATATATCATAATCTTTTAAACATTTTTCTTATATATACTCTATTTTGAATATTTGAATATAATTTCATTATATGATCTAATAAATTGGAATAATCTACAACATATTGTTCACATTTATTATTTAATATATTATATTCTTCAGAAAATGCATCCATATTTTCTAATTGAGAATACATATTTTTTATTACTTCTAACATTCTTTCTAATAAATTATCCAATCCTTTAATTGTATATCCTTGCATTTATTCATAATTATCAAATCATGCAATTAATTCATTTGATACTCTAAGATCTAAAAAGATTCATTCTAATTTTAGCAAAAATTTAATAGTTTTACCTTAGGTTTAATTTGGATCTTTATTCTTAGAACCGAGCAACCTTTGAGCTCTGAATATGTAAACTGCTTTCTTCAACGGTTTCTTGCCTTCACGGAATCTTTACAATTTCAGCTTCTTGCTCTCACTGTATCAATTCTAAAAAATAAAATTATAGACTTCTGTTAAAGAAAAACTCTTTTTGCTAAAATAAGAAGGAAATTTTCTATTAGATCCTTAAAGAATAGTTGGGAATAAAGATTTAGAAACTCATATTGATATCAAAATATTAGAATTTTATTTCTATCAGAACTTTTACAAGATTTCTATTTGGTATACAAAGATTTTTAGAAAAACTGGTTTTTCAAACTAAAGATGGCTTAGGAGTGGCTATTGATTACGATTCGAGATTTTAAGATGATTTCTATCTATTACAATGCCTCTATTTATACAAGTCTCTGAGATTCTATTACATCATTGAGTACATCAGCAAAGACACACTTGCCTCTCTACTATTTTTCTCCTTGGGCCTACATCTTTACATGCTTCTTCAACTTTTTATCAAAAGATCATCTTTCTCTATTATTGTCATTTATCTTCTATGTCTTTACATACATCTGTATTATTATCCTTCATATAGCTTTGTCAAAGGTGCTTTATTATTATCTTCTTCTTTCGCATGCAGTTGGGACACTTCCTTAGATGGCATGATTCTTTTATAGTGGTAGGACATTTTGAAAATTGATGTATTTCGAATCTTGCAATATAACCCTTCAATATTTCTGATTTTTTATGTCCTTAATTTGATACCAGCATCCAGTTTTCATATTGGCACAGGCATGAGAATTTTTTGTCAAAGAAATTTTTGACAATGTTGTATATGACTTTAATTTCAAGTGCTCTTCTATGTTTGATCCATGATTTTGTAACTATCGGAACTTTTTTTTATCATTTTTCATCACATCTATTTGGAAGTTGGCTGCTACATACCCAATTGATATTATATGTTCAACTGGATAATAATCAACTTCATCATATTCAGATATAAATACTGGAGCAACACAGATCTCGGAGATATTCAACGCAAATATAAAATTTTTGTTGAATAGCACTAATGAGCATCATAAAGAGGCCATAGAACTCAAAAATCAAGTTGATGCTATTGCAGCACAACTAAAAAATATACTGTTTGAGATAAATATAACACAGAGCTCAAAAATGAGTTTTCCAATTCAATACCAAATAGGGACAGCTGGAAGTAGCAGTGGACCCAAACGTGACAACATACCAACTGATAAAAAATGAGATTTCATTTCAGTATCATCAACAAAAAAAGTGATGATACATGGAGATAAAAGAGATTCCAAAACAATCAGTATCGTAGACCAAGAAGATAAAATTCTTTTAGATTTAAAAGAAGAAAAATATGCTGAAATAGTTAGAATTGCTTACGAAATAAAAATGAGTGATTCATATTTTATCACTCCGGGAAATAATGTTTATCCCAGAATAACAACTATAGAAGGAGAAGACCCTTCATTTATAAAAATTATGGCAGACTATGGATTTATGGATTTGACATATCCAGGAAAAGCTTTGATAGAAATTTCGAAATTTGATGATGTATTTATAAGTATCCAAATTTGCCAAAAGACGAATAATATATTTGAAATTTTACCCAATAAATCTTCAGATTCTTCTTTAAGAAAATCTATCCTTTTTGTATATGTAGGATAGATTGGTATAACTCCATGACCTTAGCTTTATTCATCAGCAAATTCTATATTTCTGCTGAGAAAATCTGCTAGAAAATTATTAACTCCTTTAATATGAACTATATCAAAATTATAAAATGCTAAATAAGTTTGTCATCTATGGAGCCTTCTATATTGAGATTCTGATGGTAATTTATTCCTGATTAATTCTGCAACTTGAGAATTATCAGTTTCAACAATAAATTTCTTGGATAACAAAAATAATGAGAT